AGATTGTTGCTTTATTTATTCCTAGTTTATAGTTGAGGATATTACCCATTCTTTCATTTAACAAATATTAATTGGATGCTCCCTGAAGTGCCAGCTCTGTGCTTGTCTACCTGGACTTTTATGCAGCATCCTCTTTATGAGGCCCTAAGAAGTCTTTTCTTTCTGCCTTCACTACCTGGGCTTGTTGTGCAGCAGGCTTGTTTTTATTTTGTGGATGCTGAGTTATATAGCTCGTTGTATTTCCTCTCTGACTTTGTATGCCAGAAAGTCATAATAACATTTTTAAAGACTGATTAGGACCTCATGCCATTCATTTTTATATGAGTCTCACTTCTGGTGTTATATTTTCATCCTTACCTTTTTATTCATTTTCTCTACTCATCATTCTTTTTGTCTTTTAAAATTATATATATAATCAAGGGCACCTCAAACATTTATTTTGAAACAGTTGAGGTTTAAAAAAAGAGAAAACCAAATGTTCTCTAATTGAGAAGAGGACCATCAGAAAATGTTTATAATTACGTCAATAAACTGAACATAAAGAATACAGTTGTACATCTTTCTTTTAGTCTAAGGTTTCAACGAAAAAGATTCTGATCATTGTCTCTCATGTAGTCAGAAACAAGTTCATGATAGCTGGTCTAGTTCACATTGTGAGGCAGCTGTCATTAAAAGGGTGGTGGGTACAAACAGATGAACTTGTAGCATTTTCTGTGGCTAAGCTGTAAGTGTGTGTGTGTGTTTATAACACTTTGTGACTTTTGAGACCTGAACTTTGGGTACGTGTTGCCGAGTCGGCCCTTACGCCCAATGTAACCTTGTGGTTGCACATCTTCTCCTGGCTAAAGGTCTGAGTCCAAGGTGAAATCACTGGCTCAAAATAGAAGCACAAGATAGAGGAGAAACTGTGCTGGCTTGGTTACGAGCAGCAAGGCACATGTGTGGGCACTGGTCTTGGTGGCAGAAGTGAACCAGGTAGAATACAGCATTGTGAGTAGAGTCGGCGTGGTGGTTACCTCAGTAAGTGATGACTCAACAGCCTCAGGATCAGCAAAGTTGAAGCAAGGAAAATATGAGTAGAACCATCCCCATGCTACAGGGAAGGTCCCCAACCTGTCTTTGAACCTCTGCTGCCTGAGTATCTCAAGGCTGCAGAAATCAGTGCTACCCCTGTGGGCAGAACTCAGAAGTCTTTAAGGACCTGGTCTGGTAAGCAGATCTGCCTCCCAGGAATTTGGTGTCTAAGGCTGAAGAGGGACAGATATTCTTCCTATAAGTTGATGTCACCTTTGACTAAGAGCCATAATTGTTTCCCGTGGAGTCCATGTGGATTAGCTTTAGGGTACACTGTCCTCAGAGGGAGAGACTCCAAGTCTCTGTAGCTGAACCCTTGTCTTCAGTGGCCTGTTCACATTCCAAGCCTAAGTGGGAAGTTCTGGCTGTAGGGAACCTGAGAGGAGGTGGAAAATAAGTTCTTTAAAGCAAAAATGAAATGTTAGGATTTCATTAAGCAGTCATTGATATGAATAGAATTTGAAACTGGAAGATATTAAAGTTTGAACTTGTTCCTTTCAGTTTTTTCTGTAAATATTGTTCTGTTCTCTGATTCATGTATTAATTATTAGAAATAATAATATAGTGAATGTTCTACATATAACTAATATTTACAAGCATGTGCCCTGCCTCTGTCTCTGCTGGCATTGAATGGATGAACTGAAAAATGACCTAAAACTACTAGAGAATTTGTAGATTCAGAAGTTTCAAAAAGCCACACCTGCAGTGTATCCAAAGAAAACAAGATCCCTGATTTAAAAAGACATATGCACCCTTATATTTATCACAGCACTATTTACAATAGCCAAGATATGGAAGCAACCCAGGTGTCCATCAGTAAATGAATAGTTAAAGAAGAGGTGGTACATATACACAATGGAATATTATTTAGCCATAAAAAGAAAACAAATCCTACCATTTGCAACAACATGGGTGGAGCTAGAGGGTATTATGCTCAGTAAAATAAGCCAGGAGGAGAAAGACAAGTACCAAATGATTTCACTCATTGTGGAGTGTAACAACAAAGCAAAACTGAAGTAACAAAACAGCAGCAGACTCACACACTCTGAGAATGGAGTAACAGTTACAGGGGAGGTGTGGGGGAGGGTGGGCAGGTGGGGAGGGAGAAGGGGATTAACGGGCAGTATAATTAGCACATACAATATAGGTAGGTCATGGGGAAGGCAGTACAGCATGGAGAAGACAAGTAATGACTCTACAGCATCTTACTATCCTGATGAGACAGTGATTGCAATGGGGTAGGGGGACACTTGGTAACATTAATATGTGTGAATGTTGAAACTACACTGTTGTTCATGTGAAACCTTAATAAGATTGTATATCAATGATACCTTAATTAAAATTTAAAAAAAAAAGAAAAGGAAAACAGCCCCACATAGGAAAGATGCCAAAGAAGACTGGGTCTCAAGGATGTTGTACCTCACTGACAGGGGAAGGTTAAGTACCACTGCCTCACAATACAGTGATCATTTCACTATGTCACACTGCCTGGAATTCTGGGAGGTGTCTCAACCCAAATGCCTCTCTGAGTAGGCCAGAGACATCACATGTATAGTTTAAAAAGCAAACAAAAACTGTTGATCTGGCCAAATAAAATATGTACACAGAGTACCTTTAGATTAGGCAATCATTTAGACTGTAGAGTGAAGTGTGGATGCTTCTAGGCAGGTTGAAGCAGTTCTTCAGATACCTTTCTGCAGTTAGGTGCTCTTAGGGGTGAGGGATTGAGGGCAGGGAGAAGAACATTTTGGAAGTATGCTCTTGGGAGTTAAAGGTGCTTACTTACATCAGGGGTCTGGTGAAACTTGAGGGCATTGAGGGGAGAAGGGTCCCAGAGGATGGAATAAGTATCAAAAGGAAGAAAGGAGGCTGCCGAAAACATATGGGACCCTTTTCAAAACTGTCTCAGGAAATTCTTAACTTCCCTCCTCGTCTTCCGTGCCCCATATGTCTTTACTCCTGGAGTCCAGGTTAAGACTGCTTCTTCCGTAGTCACAGTCACATGCTTCTGGGCAGGTTGCTTAGGCCCTCATGGTCTGGGAACACACCCTCTTAAAACTGTAGACATCATTTTATTCAGTTTACCATTTACCAATGTAACCATGAGCTTTTTGGAATAGAAATGCTAGACATTTAATTAATGTTGCTAACATGGCTTTTTATGGGGAAATGCATTACAGGTTACAACAGGACACCTGGTAAGTGAACTTTTGGATTGTAGTTTATTAATAGGGTGGGACTTACCCATAGTGGGAAAGCTTGTTTGGGGGAGCAAAATGTACCTGACTTGGTGTGTTCATCTCTGCTAGAATAGCCTATTGGAATAGCAGTAACTGTACCATACGTTATTCCTTTCTAAGTGGTTATGTTTAAAGTCTGTTTGAATTTAGTATCTTTATTCTTTGATTTGTAGTCTTTGTCAGACACTTGTAAATTTCTGCCCTATCCCATCAAAATGTTTTCAAGTTACAAATTATTGTTCTTGTGTATATTTTGTTTATTCATTTATTTACTTAAGCATTCTTACCTAGGTTAATTTCCTTATTTCCCGTGCCTCCTACCCTAGTGTGTTTTCCATATTCTCCTTTTCATTAGTGAAATTTCATTTAGTTCTTCAATGTAGAAACTTACTCTGTCAGCTTCTGCTTTATATCTTATATCAAACTGGACCTGATCTTATCCATTCTGTTCTTCTGAGTTTCCTTTATTTCTTATTATCCCTACTGTTACCACCATTATTCTTATTGTCTCACACCTGGGCTATTGCAGTGAGATTTTAAGAGAATTTTGCCTTTCCCTAATATGGAGTTTTAACATTAAGGGTTATAATCCATAATAGGCTATAAAATCAGTTTAATAATGACTGGAATTGTTTCTAATAGTTTAATAGAATAGAACAGAAATACCAGGAAGTACGAGCAATTTGTTTTCAGCTTTGTGTGTGTGTGTGCATACATATACATGTCTATGGACATAATACTCTATGGATCATTATTAAAATATGTTTGTTTTTGTTGATCACCCTGTAGGAAATGTGAAGGCCAGTGTTGTGGGCTCATTCTCCCACCCCTAATCCATCCTTGTGTCTTTCAGAGTTATTTTTCCAAAACAAGCACCTCATCATCTCACAGCTCTGCTTAAGAGCCCTCACTGGCTCCCTGTTGCCTGCAGAATAAAGTCCATAGCATGGCTTACAAGGCCCTTCACAATTTGAACTCAAGGTGCCTGGGTGCTATTCTCCCTGCCCTGCCTGCCACACGTCCACCTTAAACTCAAGCCATATAGTGTCTCTTGCTTTTGTCTAGACATGCCTTACTCTTTTTTTTAAGTATCATTGATATACAATCTTATGTTGGTTTCAAATCCACAACACAGTGGTTCAACAGTTAACTATGTTATTAAATCCTCACCCCCTCTAGTGTAGTTACTGTCATTGTAGTAAGATGTTACAGAATCATTGATAATATTCTTCATGCTGTACTACCATCCCTGTGACCAACTTACATTGTGATTCAGATGTGCCTTACTCTTTTATCCTTCTACCTCCCTATTCCCATGGCTTAGACCCATTCACCAAGTGGCAGACTCATCAGACCAGATATCACTGATTTTGAGAAGCCCTTCCCAAGTTCCACACCATCTGTCATGCCCCTGCCCATCTTGCCTGCCGGCCTCCTCTCTAGCCTGATTAGGCGAGAGCAAGTGAGGACTGAGGCCGCGTGTTGTGTGACTTAGTCTGCCAGGCTCGGCCGAGGTGGCACTGCCTGTGCGGCCAGCTCCTGGGTGTGTGTTTGCTGAACTGGAGTTACTGGTCAAGCTAGTACACATACCACCACCCTTCTGGGCTTTTGGGCTGTTTGTCCTTTTTTTTTTCTTTTTTAAGTAAACCTTCCCATTTATTTAAGTACTTTCTAAAATGTTTTTAGATATCAAAGACAGAATTAGATTGGTTCCTTGAAGATTTGGGAAAGGAAATTAAAAAATGGCAGCAGGAGAAAAAGGAAATCCAAGAAAGACTAAAAGCACTGAAGAAGAAAATGAAAAAGGTTTTAAATGCCAGTGAAATGTGAGTATCAATTGAAAGGCAATGATTCTTAACTGTTTTTTTATGGGTTTTTTTGGTTACTTTAACATTTTTGCTATTCATTTGCAAACTATGCCCGGTAAAGTGAAAATTTTAGATAGCATTTTTATCTCATTTTAAAGAATATCCTTACCTAAAACTTACTCTAAATCTACTGTGTTTGCAGGTAAATAAAAGTGGGACTGTAAATCAAAGAACTGACTTCGAGTATGAGCACCACCTTACTGTGAACATTACCTTTGACCCTCTTTTTTCCTCATCTAAAAAATGAGGGGGCTAACAGGGCATAAATCTGCAAAGAAGTAAAAAGCTAACCTTTTCAAACAATATTGCTTCTCTCTCACTTACCAACTTTACATCTCCCTGTATGGCCCCGGAAGATGACTGGTTAGCCAGAGACGGGTAAGATTCCTCAAGGGAGGAACAACCTAAGACAGGCACAGTCGCAGGGGGGCCATCAGGTGAGAAATTGGGGATCAACAGAGGTGAGGCTCAGA